AGGAGGTTTCACATTAGGAATTTCCCAATCTGTGCAGATGATAAAATAAAAAATCCTTCCCTTGGTCGTAGGGATAGGCAGGAAAGAGTGTAAATGTAATTCCTAAATATTTATTAAATGAGACAATATTTGTAGAGTATTTTGCAAATTTTAAAGCACTATTTAAACGCTAGCTATTATTATCACTATTTCTTAAGGAAAATTATTATAATTAGGTTCACTTTTAACTTTATATCTAAGAAAAATTTTATCATTTAAACAAATCCAAGTTGCTCATCTGCTCACATGGCTTCAAATGTAACAGGAGTCACCATCTTTACTCCTTCTGGTGAGATGGAGAACTATCAGGCCTTACCATTTGCCTGCCTTCCAAACCTACAATATTATCATTTGATGTACTAATGTGATCTAAGAACCCCTGGACTTTATCATCTGCCTTGTTGATGAACTTTCTTTTATGTGCTGTCTCCCTCAGCTCCCTGCCTCCTTCTCCCCTCCCCTCACCCTAAGTCAGATCTTTGAGAGCAGGGACAGACTCAATTTTTCTATTTGTATCCCCTGAATTAATGAAGAATAAGCACTTAATAAATGCTTTCTTCACCTATTCACTGAAATTCTAATAAATTTAAATTTTTGTACTTTCTCTGCTTTTGGTCAATTTGCAAGATATTTCATAATGAAAGGTTTTCAGCTGAGAAGATTGGGAGATGAGCAATGGGAAGTTTGAGGAGGCATAAAAAGGTTGGGAATGACACTGTGGTGACTAGGTTAGTGAATTGATTAGGGAGGTGGAAAAGGATTGTCTTGGCACAGGAAGGACCCAGTTAAAATCATGTAACATAAATTTGTGGTGGACCCAGTTTTCATAACTTTCTCCAGCTTTGTTCAGAGTAATTCCACACTGAGGCTTGGCAGGGCAAGATCTTCAATAAGATAAGGGGGCAGAGATCTTGAAAGAAGAAGATAGTGGAGAAGATAGTGGTTCATTAAGGGGTCAAGATGGGGAATGGAGAAGAGCATAGACAGTATAGGGATCATGACCTGAGAAAAGAACTAAGGGATTGAAAGATTGGAAGTTATGGTGAGGTTGAAGAAAAGATTGAGGACGTCAGGCAGAGGGAGAGGTGGAAGGACAATCAATTCTGATTAAGAAAGGGAATTTCAGAGTTCATGAAAGGGAAGTACAGTAGGTGATGGCTAAGTCAAGGTTATGACCATCTTTGAGTGTAGGTGAGGAAGGGTGAAAGAGCAGGTCATGGGAAATGAGTAAATTGTAGAATTGGGAGGTTAGGGTGTTAGTATGTATATATATATGAAGTACTGGTATAATTTCATTGTCTATGGTGCCTTTAAGAATAATGTCATTTGTTTATCTCTTTAAATTGGGTCTATTTTTACTGTTGCCCTGTCTGAGATCATGATTTCTACCCCTACTTTTGTGAGTTCACCTAAAGCATGATAAATGTTTTTTCTAGCACCTCATTTGAACTGTGAATCTTTATATTTCCAATCTATTTCTTATAAATAACATATTGCTGGATTCTGCTTTCATTGTATCTACTTCCATTTTATGGGTGAATTCATTCAATTCACTTTTACAGTTATGATTGCTAATTGTGTATTTCCCTTCATCTTATCCTCTCTCTTCCTGCTCTTTCGTCATACCTAGCTCTTTGCAAAGAAGGTGGTGAAAGAGGAAGATTGAGATCCACACTAGTGATATGTAATTGAAGCTCTCAGCTTCTATTCCACTGCCCCTCCTCCCTTCCCTTTTGCAGACTGCTGAGTCTTTTGTCTTTTCTTTTAATCCTGCCTTTAAGATCCCACCCCACCCCCACAAGTTGAGGTTTGTTTTGTTTGTCACTCTTCCCTTCCTTGATTCTACTCACCTCTAGTCTTTTCGACCTGAATGCTTAAAAGTCCTCTTATTTCATTAAAAATTCATTCTCTAACATCTCTCCCCCTAGATTATACCTAGTCCTGCAGGGTACATTATTCTTGGCTATAAACCTTTATCTTTTGCCTTTTGGGATATTGTATTCTAATTTTTTCCCCCTGCTTTGTCTTGTGTGATACTAACTTGGTTCTTTGATGTTTGAACTTCTTTTTTTTTGGCTGCTTGCACACGTTTAAAAATCTTTTCCTTCACCAGGAGCTCAGGATTTGAGATATGATATTTCTGAGAGTTTTCATTTTAAGAATTTTTCCAGGAATCAATTGGTGGAATCTCCCTATTTTCCCCTTACTCTCCTGTTCTCATGAATTTGGAGAGTTTTCATTTATGATTTCTTGAAATAAGGCACGGAGTTTTTTGGGGTGGGAGTGGGAATGGGTTATGGTTTTCATGTCATTTTATGATTCTTAACGTATTTGTTCTTCACATATTTTTGGGTCAGTTAGTTTTTATAATAGATATCTTATTTTTTGGCCTTTCAATTTTGTTTTAATATTTATTTCATGGAATCATTATCTATTGTTATCGCCTTTGTATGGCCTGTTCTTGGACAGGTAGGTGGCACAGTGGATGAAGTCCTGAGTTCAAATGCGCCCCCAGACACATTACTTTTATGACCCTGGGCAAATCACATAACCCTGTTTGCCTCAGTTTCCTTATTTGTAAAATGAGCTGGAGAAGGAAATGGTAAACCACTCCAGTATCTTTGCCAAGAAAAACCCAAATAGGATCATGAAGAGTGAGACACAACTGAACAGCAACACCACCGGTCTATTCTAGTTTTCAGGGAGTCCACTACTGGGGCAATGTTTTCTACCTTCTGGTTTAAACTATTTATTCTGCTTTCAATTCTTTTCTTTAGAGCTCCTATTTTACTTACAATTCTGTTTTTATTCTTGCTTTATTTCTTTCAGGTTCTTTTAGTAGTTTAGTGAAAAAGCCATTTTCTTCCTCCTCTGAGGATCTGCTTGTAATTGTTGTGGCTTTACTCTCTTCTATGTTTCCTTCTTTGGTGATTATTAACCCATACTATTTCTTAATATACTTGGTGTTTTCTTCTGTTTCACCACATCTCTAGTCTCAATCTCATTGATTTGCGATTCTGTGCCAGGGTTAGGACATATCCCTTCTCAGGCACTGAGATGAGAGCATGTAATCAAGCCTTGACTGTACTTTCCTGGGTTCCTGATAATGGTTTTTACTTTCCTTGCTGTGTTTGTGCTTAGAGCACTGGCAGTCTTAAATGACCCTGCTCAGATCTTTGTGGTTGAATATCCTTGCTCAAGGCACTGCCATAATTTTCTTCCCCTTCCCCCACCAGGGCACCGTAGCTTTTATCTCCCCAGGGGCTTCTCTACTTGGGATGCTGTCTCAGACTTCTAGTTTATTTACTTGAGCTAGAGCTGGCTACTCTGGCAGGATCCTTCTTCCAGTGTCCACAGATTTTGGCTATCCGTGCGTGCAGTTCTTGGCTGGATAAAGGAGCTTACTGATATTTTTCTTCTAATGTCTTGATCCCTGTTCAAAGTGGTTCTCTTTCTAGATCACTTCGGGAATAAAAGGAGGAAACGAGCTCCACAGACCTTTCCCTCAGCCATCTTAAAGAAAATCTATAATGTTCCTCATTCCTAGAACTTTTTGAGTGCTATATATATATATATATATATATATATATATAATACATATTAACCAAACATTCAATAATAAGCATTTATTAAGTGGTTACCACTTTTGGCTAAGCACTGAGGATACAAAGGCAAAAACAACATAATACTGGATAAGGATACAATTTCTTCTTATTCTAGAATAATTTTAAGCCACAGTAATAGCTATTCAGGAAAATATACAAGTGGACTATCACCATCAGTACCTATCTATCATTTATTTATCTGTCCAACATTAACTTTTTTCAAAAAACTGTACTTGAAAAAGTGCCCATGCTACCTAATAGCAAAATTTTCCCTATCATCCCGTTTACCATGCGATACCCCGCTACGTTCAAACTGGGATGCCCTATCTGTACAATGATGTGGGAGTACTTCTCAAAACGATACTCCATTTGGAGTCAAATTTTTGCAGTGTTACCAGGAACCATCTATCATGGGTCCTCCTCTTCCCACGTATGCAGGAGTGTGTTTACGTGTGTGTTTTCTTTTAAATGCATTGTACCATATTGTGGAGAACTTTATTTGTTTAAACACCAAGGGCTGAATCGTCTGCGTTCCTTGAAGCTCCACGGATACTTTTTAACCCGTTCGTTTCTCGCCTGCCCTCCAGCGCAGGTGGGCACCACACGACTCCACGTGCCTGCCCCAAGGCCGGCCCGAGAGCAGCATCCACTAAGTTTAGTAAAGAACGAAAAAGAAAACAGAGTTGTCCCTTTAAGAACCTCCTTTCCATTTTACTCTATGTTTACATAACACAGGGGACGATTCCAACGTCGACATCGCGGGGGGGAGGCTGTTTCTTGTCTTTCCCTTCTCTTCTTTGGGGGGCGGGGGCGGGGGCGGTTACGGGGCGGGGGGTGAGGCCTCCGCCGCCCCACGTGCTCCGGAAGGGGGAGCCCCGTCGGCTCGGAGTCGCGCCCGGCCGCACTTTCTTGGGGGCGGGCTTGGGGTGGCTGCCTGCGGCCGGAGGCGGGGGTGGCTCCGCCGGGCCGCGGCTCGCTCCTCCCCCGCCCGCCCCGCGTCTCGGCGCTCCGCTGCGCTCCTCCTCCGGCTGGCTGGTCGCTGGTCGTCCGGTCGCCTCGGGCCCCGCCGCTCCGGGACCGCCGCCGGGCTTCGCGTTGGGGCCGCCTGGGGAGCAGCGCCGGCTTGGTGCAGGGTCCCGGCGGGCGCGCGGGCGGGGAGCCCGGGAGCCAAGACGGAGCCGCTCGGGGACTGGCCGCCGCGCGGCCCCCTCGCCGCCGTCCCTTTCCCCAGCTCTCTGGCTCCCTTCTCCGTATGGGATTGTAGCCGCGGCGCGGACCCGGCGGGGATCGCGGAGGAGGCTGCGGCGCCCGCGGGGCCGCAACCGCCGGAGCCCGCGCACGACGAGGACCGGGAGGACGAAGAGGGAGCCGAGCGCGGCTCCATGTTCGCCCCCGGTGCGGAGGAGTCCTGCTCCCCCAGCAAAGAGCCGCGGAAATACGGAGAGCTCGTGGTGCTGGGGTGAGTGAGGGCCCTGGAGCGCCACCCCCACCCCGGGGATCCCCGGGGGCTTGGGTCTGTCCGTCAGCCGGCACGCATTCATGAAGCGCCTACTGTGTGCCGAACTCTGTGCTGAGCGCCCGGGATACAAAGAGAGGTAGAAGACGCTACCTGCCCTCGAGCAGCTGCCAGTCCAGGGGCAGAGGGCGCGCAGGCAGCTGCGTGCAGATAGGCTGCGTGCTGGACGGTGTGGAGATCCGCCAAGTTAGGGGGCCGAGCCGGGGGTCGGGAAGGCTTCCTGCGGAAAGTGGGACCCCCGTTGGGGCCGTTGCAGGGCGAGGAAGAAAGGCACAGACCCCCCCCCCCCGTGGGTGTCTCATTCGTGGGAGCCTCTTCCAGGCTCCCTTGAGTGTAGGGTGCCCGGGGAAGTGTGTTTATGTGGGGGCGGGGGGTGGGTGATGTGGCGACTTGTACCTTGTTCCTGGGCCTCTCGGGCAGCTGTTGGGGTAAGGGGTTGTGTTTGTGTGTGTGTGTGGGGGGGGTGTTTGCTGCTCTGCTTCTCCATCTAAATTGCCGCGCCTGAATTTTTTCCCCTCCTCCTTTCCCCGCTGTTACTCCTTTCCCCCTCTCCTTTCTCTTCTCTTTCCTTCTCTCTCTTTCTCCTTTTCCTCTTTTCCATCTCCTCGTCTTCCTCCTCCTCCTCCTTCCCCCTCCTCTTTTTTCTTCCTCCTCCCCTCCTCTTTCCCCTCTCCTCGTCTTTCTCCTCCTCGTCCTCCTTTCCTCCTCTTCCTTTCACCTTCCTCCTTTCTCTTCCTCCTCCCCTCTTCTTCCTCCCCCCTCCCCTTTTCTTCTTCCTCTCCACTTCCTTTGCGGTAGAGAAGTCTGGGGAAGTTCACGGGCTGGAGGATGAGTGGCGAGGATGTGAACTGGAGGGGGAGGGCGGAACAAAGTTAGTGTGAATCGCTGGAGGACCAGGTGTGGGGGCTGAAGGCATAGCTTACTCTGCGTCTTGGGGAGAGGTGGCAGCGGAGTAAGGTTACTGTGGATCGGAGGAGGACCAGGTTCCAGGGCTAGGAGACTGGTAGCGAGGTGTCTTGGAGTGGGAGGTGGGGTGGGGGGATGTGTGTGCGGAGTACGGTTACTGTGAATCGGTGGCAGGTCCAAGTCTGGAGGGTCAGTAATAGTGATGTGGCTTTGGCTGCTGTGGGAGGGTGAGGTCCCCGAGTATCCGAGACCTGCGGTCTGGGAGGTGGAGGGTTTATGAGGTGCACTGGGAGTGATGGGAGGAACCGCTTTGGGAGGGAGGCTTGGGGGTGATTCGTGCTCCCCAAGGGAAATGAGGCTTTGGGTGTTGCTGGTTGTTTTTTCTTTTGGGCACCATCATCCCCTTTCCTATGGTGCTTTTTATTTAGTGGTCTCAGATAGACAGATGCTGAGACTTTTTTGGGATGGGTACTAATTTGCAACCCAACTTGGGAAGAAGCGGGCAATTACTTACATATATTGTTATGGTGACGGGAGTGGTTACTGTCTGGGAAGGCCCCGTGGTGAACTGTCTGGACCAAACCCGTTGGCTTGGCCTTCTGTGAACTTTTCCCTATTTGGAGTTTACGAGTTCGCTGGGTACAGAGTTAGAAATTGGCTCTTTCTTGATTTGTGGGGCCGAGGTCAGGGCTGGGCTCCAGAATGGGAGCAAGGCTGTGTTCTTTGGACACCAGTGCTGCATGTTGAAGGTGGGTGGTATCCCCAGGAGGGATGCTCCACAGTAGTGAGTTAGACAACAGCTCTCAGACAGGGACGCAGCAGCAGCAAGGAGCTCACAGTCGTCTCTACTGGTGAAGATTATATTTTGAGGATAGTAGTTATCTATAATCATTAAGCTGAAGCTATTAGAAACTTCATTTTATCTACTCTTTCCTTGTCACATTTTCCATTATTTATCCTTAATAAATAGATAAAGGGCTGTAGGTTAAAGGGGATAAAGTGAGTGGTGAAAGGGGGATATTTTGGGATACAGAAGATAATACCAACGTGGATTAGTTTCCAAAGTGGAAATGTTTATTCTTTTTTAGATATAGAGTCCTGAGTTTCGTTCTTTTTTAGCTAAAATAATATGAAACATTTTTTTCAGGACATCACAGATACTGGTGAGGAAGAGATACATAAGCAAAATAAAAGGCTTCTGACTTGATTATCAAAAAAGCTTAATTATTCTACTCTAAGGTTTTCTAAGTACTCTGTGTCTCATTTGACAACACCCATGTGATAGAGGTATTAGAGACATTATTAGAACTTTTTTTTACATATGAGAAAACTGAGTTTGGAGGAGTTAAGTGAAACTTGCCCATGGTCACACAATTAGTAAGTTTTTGGAGATGGGATTTGAATTTAGGTCTCTTCGACTTTCATGTTCAGAGGCAACTCTTGCTCTGTGTATGCAGCTGTTATTTTAATAGCTGAACTTCTTAAAGCACCACTTAAAATACAATTTTTCTTAACAAAAATGTATTGGCACTTTAAAACAGAAAAACATATGATGGATTTCTAGATAAGTGACAGCTCAATATTTTCAAGTTCTTTCTCTTTCTGCCCTCTTTCTATTACAGGAATGTTGTTAGCATTAACCATTTTTAGACAGTTAAGTTTCAAGATAAGCATTTTCCTTCATTACAGAAAAAAAATTGCATTAAAAATGTTGTGAATGGTAGAGATATGGGAGATGACTTTCCAAGCATTGAATCCTGACTTTTGAACTATTTTGTGCATGTTGAAACTAACCATTTTAGTGGTGGTTAGTAATATTTATGACTGGTGTCTAGTAAATTTAACTCAACCTCTTATGAAAGATTCTCCAAAGCTCTTTAAAAATATCTATATTTTTGTTGAGGAAATCAGTGATGAAATGTTTCAAAGAAACATGAAGTGTTTATACTGAAAATGAGGGTATCTTGTAACTGAAGAGCATTTTTTTGGTGGCATACTATGTTTAATCATTAAATTAATTGATGCCCGATGAATATTTGTTTATGTTGTTAGAAAATATATTTTTTTCTGATACTTTGCCAATAGAAGTAAAATTTGGTTTAAATTAATTAAACTTACACATAATTTCCCTCAAAAAGTTGAGAGGAATTCCTTGCCTTCATTCATTATTTCTGAAAGTGGATATCCGTGTTCTGCTTGAAGACCACTTTATTTTTCAGTCATGTCCAACTCTTTGTGACCCTATTTGGGGTTTTCTTGCCAAAAGTTACTGGAGTGGTTTGCCATTTCCTTCTCCAGTTCATTTTACAGATGAGAAACTGAGGCAGACAGAGTTAAGGGGCTTGTCCACACAGCTAGTACATGTCTGAGATCAGATTTGAATTTGGAAAGATGAGTCTTCCTGACTCTTGACCGCTCACTCTATCAACTAACTGTGCCATCTAGTTGTCCTTTGAAGACCATTTGTCTTTACTTCTTTCCCATCCCTTTTTGCCTCCTTCTTACCCCCCCCCCCCCCCATCTCCTCTCTCCTACCCCATTTTAAATTTTTGGACAGTGTTAATTGTTTGGGAGTTTTTTTCCCTTTATATTTAATCAGCAGCTAGATGGTGCAATAGAGTGCTGGATCTGGAGTCAAGAAGATCTGAGTTCAAACCTTACCTTAGACCCATGAGTAGTTGTTGGTTAAGTCACTTAATCTGCCTGCTTCAGTGTCCTCAACCGTAAAATGAGGATAATAATAACACCTACATACCAACGTTTTTATGGGGATCAAATGACATAATATAGTACTTGGCACATAGTAATGCTTGTTTCCTTTCTTCCTTCCTACTCTAAATTTACATCCTAGTAATTCCCATGCCTTCGTCATAGTTCTGCCTTTTTGGCAAAAGCAGAACAGATTTAAAATGCATTTCACTTTATATATTTGTTCATTAAGGAAATAAAAATCTCTCTTATGCTGCCAAAAAAATCTTCGTGAGGCACAAGTCTCATTATATTACTTCCTTGCTTAAAAACCTTCAGGAGCTCCCTATAGTCTCCAGGATTCCTTAGCATGATATTTAAAGCCTTAAAACCTATTTCAATCTGGCTTCATTCTACCTTTTCAACTTTGTCTCACACTACTCCCTTTCATGTGCCAGATTGAACTGGTAGCTGGCTCTCAAACTCAACATGGCATTTTTCCGTCATTTTGTAGGAAGGGGATTTACTCAAACTCCAGAATATAATGAATATACTTTCTTTTCCTTTATCTTTGCCGTTTGGAATTTTTGGTGTCCTTACTTTGTCTCACTTCAAGTGCTTACTCTTTATCCCTCTACTTAGTGGTTTTCCTGGAACACTTTGTCTTATCTATCTTGCTCATCATTGTTCAAATTTGTTCTGTTTTTGCCAAAAAGGCAGAACTGTGACCAAAGCATGGGAATTACTAGGATGTAAATTTAGATTAGGATGGAAGAAAGAAAACAAGCACTACTGTGTGCCAGGCACTGTACTATCTCATTTGATCCTCATAAAAGCACTGGTAGGTAGGTGTTATTATCCTCCTTTTACCTTGTGCTGTGTTTACATATTGTACAAATTATGTCTACCTAGAAGAATGCTAGCACCTTCAGGGTAAAGGTAGAGACTGTTTTTTTCCCCCATGATTTCTCTGAATTCATCCCTTTAGTCATTTCTTACTGCGCAAATAGTATTCCATTTTATTCTTATTTTCCCGTTTGACCTGGAAGCTCTGGATAGATGTTTAGAGGTTTCTTTCAGGAGGTGCCTGGTGGATTCTTCCTATTTTTGTTTAGCCGCCTGATTCTGGCAAATCTAGTCATTTTAATTTATGATTTCTGGAACTCCTGTATCCTAGTTTAGTTTAGTTTTGTTTTTTTTTGTTGTCATTTTCAAGGATAATGATTTTTATATTATTGCCTTGTTTTCTAGGCAGTCATTTTTTATAGTAAATGCCTTACTTTTTTTCTATTCTTTCAATTAGAAAAACTATTTCTTGATATTTTCTGAAGTTAATGACCTATGTTAGT